CCATACTGTACAGTACTTGTAATAGTCTCCTGCTTTTCTAACTCTTAAATAAACAAATATAGATATATATTTTTTAAAGTATATACAATATAAATATACAGTACATATAATATATTTGATGGAACGTATTTTGACAACAAAAAATTTCCTATGAATTTTTCTAAAATTTATGTATCTACATCCTACATATTTGATAGTATTCTTTGTTTTGCGGCATCTTTCTAAAATTGCAATCTAATTTGCCGTGTATACTGTAAATATAGTGTATATGCATACAATCAAAATTAGAAAGTAAATTAAATTATGACTGATTGTTGTATACGAGTATTAAAGGGTTTCGTGGTAGATGAAATGGAAAAAAAGGCAAGGGTAATTTCCAAATGACCGAATTCTTAAAAAATTGTATAGGTCTATAACTATATAGTAAATGTGAAAGCGAAGAATTCTAATTTGACATTCGTTTTACAGTATTGGCACAGTTGATGCAAATTTTATGGATAATCTTGATCAGTACATATTTGGTCTGTGGTGACGTATTTTATTTACTACTCATAATTTGTTTTATCAAAACGGTGATATTCCTTGTTTTTCTACTGTATTGCTGTATCGTTTTAGGATATGCACGTGTTTTGCTGTATTGATAAGCTTCGCATCCCCCGAATTATACACAGATTGACTTGCACGCATATACTGTATTAAATTTATTAATTGATTACAAGCCAAATCTTTATTAAAAACAGAAAACTAGGATTTTCTGTATTGACCAGTTAAAAATCAGCACACCCTTGTTTATTATTCATCCTAACTTCCATTGTTATATTACCATAATCGGGTAGGCTCATTTTGTCTCGGAAACGAATAAATAAAGAACAGATAAGAGACACAATTAACGTTATGGATTATTATGTGAAAATATGGTGAGAAAAATTGAGTATGACCATGAGAATTTAAGGTACATAATGCGCCCGAGGTAAATAAATAGCACTAGTAAAAGAACCCCAGAATGGTTCATATAAAATCAGCAAGTTAGAATCAGTCGAATTCATACACTACTCAGGAGTTAAATAACGAGGTACTTGCCTTTGGTAAATAAATTAACTCGTACGTGAAACGAATGTTATCCCGGAGTATAAATCATAAGGGTAAATAAGGGGAGAGAGAGTCTTTACCGCGTATCTGCATCAGGTATCGCGACACGTGGCTCGGTCAATCGATAAAGGATCATAAGTGTATAAGAGATCTTATGTGCCAAGTATTATGTAACGAACGGCGATACTACAATCTGTTACGCAATGAAAAAAAAGAATACCGTGAATTTTAGGAAATCCTTCGTGATAGTACTAGATTTCTATTTTTATATTTGTCATTTTCATGTGTTTGATTTATTTTATACAATCAAATAAAATCGATTCAGAAAAGATGAAAGAAAAAATGAATCTTCGGTCAGATAACAACGCCTCATTGCTTACTTTCTATCCTTAATAACCAGTAACGGTTACGCGAATTTCTGTTATCGTTAGATAACTTCCCGTTACACTAGTCATTATGACAACAATATATTCAACATATATCAATAGTACCTATTGATATGATCATATTGACGGTTATTTGTACGAATACAGAATGCAGTAATTACGACTAAATGGAGTTTGTAAGTAGTACTCCGTAAATAGAGACACAAAAAATCGTATGATTTTATTGAAGTGGCACAAAAACGGTCGAGTACCACTTACTTTATTTCATATTTACCACGTTCTATACTTGTTTGCGTCTGATAACCGATATTTTTCTTTAAGAAGGACATGAATCAACGCCTAATAACAACTTGTTAACCTTTTTAGATCTGTTTGTTTGATAATTATGGAATGTCGTAAATGATATATTAAATGTTTATGTAGTCTATCTCATGTATTAATTATAAAGCAAAAAACGAACAGCGTGGGAGATAATAAAAAAATCGGTCAATGGTTCAAGGAAACACTGGTTTGTAAAAATATTGAAAAAAAAAAAATCATGCTAACTATAAATAAAATTAATTTGCCCTTTATACTATAATGAGTTCATCGGGCATAACCGTCAGAATTATTTATCCAAATACTTGAAACTTTTTATCATTCTTGTAATATTAAATAGTTAAATAAAAAATTTTTTTAGATTCAAATCACGTGATTTATGTTTAAACCGTATTTGGTAAAGCGCGTTCTATTGAACGCGATATGCTGTAAATCTTCTGAAGCAAAAGGTACGCACTGATCCAAATAAAAACAACCAATTGGTGCCCCGTTTGATAAGAGAGTTATCGATCGCTTCTGTTCTTAAATAAGAAATAATTGGCAACTGGTTTCCATATGACCTGGCGCCTTCAGAGAATAAATTTAAAGCGAACCATATATGCTATACGTGAAAGGTAAGCAAGATAAAAGTTGTTTATTAAGTTAATAAGCGACCAGTTATGGTTAAACCCTTCTGGGTGAAGGTGGTGAAGGGGGTATTATCCAAGTATTATCCGTTATCGCATCACACTGTCGAAAATCAATACCGAGTTCGGTAGTATACTTGTAAACGTTTTCACTGTTCACTACTAGCATGGAGGCTGCGGTATGCTTTAAGATTGGATCAAAATAACGTCATGTAAACAAAAAAAATGAAAAATTAAGAATGATAATTGCTTGAATACAACGTATTGTGTGTTGGTATACTGCTTCATTAAAAAGAGACCTTTTGGGATGCTTTTAAAAAGTTTCTTTTGATGACTCATAATAAATGAGAACATTTACGGTATATTTGTAATGAAAATTTAGCTTTTTTTGAAACTTATGTCATATGCTGTATAATAGCATAACGACTTTTTCTTTCTTTCCTTTTCTATATATACTGAGCAAATACGTAAAACCTTTCTTTTTTTAAAAAAAACTTTTTTCTCTTTACAATATTTCATAAGATCATTTTAATCTGATAAATAAACAGCTTTCATTTGCTCTATTTTTCATCAGCCGCATCTGAATCCGAATCATAATGACTAGCCCACGAATTCAAGATGATATTCCAACTCTTCAAGCTCGCCATGATTTTCCAGTTGTCTCGAATGTTGCTTCAGCTCCCGCAGTATCGGCGGCGGGACATCGTTGCCCTTGTTCTAATTATCAAGAAAGGCAGTTCAACGTCCTTCAAGCAGTCAACCCCGAAAAAATTTATGGCCTGGAAAATAAAGTGATTTCTTCGAAAAAAATTCAAGATGTGATCGTTGATGGCGATCCGGATTATCCTTTTTAAAATCAGGGAAAGGCGAAAAGAAAAAAGGAAAAAACAGAAAGAAATATTCACGTGATAGATTATAACTATAAGTACTGTATATAGATTAGGTTTCCATAGTGTCAAAAAAATAGCGGCAAAAAAAATGGTTGAAGCTTTTATAAAAACAACAAATAATTATAATTATTAAAATATTGTACACGATATATACAGATCAGTAAATCGGAGTTTGCATAATTATTACCGAAAGAACACAAAACATAAATATTTACATCATTTATTAACGCCAAAAAAACAATATCAATAAACAAAAGAAACACAATATAATTTATTAAAACTTCCAACAAGATTTAATTGATTTAGGTTTACAAGTTTCTGTTTAACAATCTCTATTCATATGTTATCAAACTTTTTCAAAAAACTCCGAATTCCAAATATGAATGATTTGGTTTTCTAAGAATTCTGATTCCAAAACGCTACTAGTTAACAGTGAAAATAATAAGAAATTTCCTTCTGTCAGAAGCCTTTGCTAGTTGCTCGTGTGAATACTGTAATTATGCTATAGCTTAATTGATGTACCAAATACAGTAATATGGTTTTCCTCCTGTAAATACAGTATATCGAGAAGCCTAACTTTTTTATTTAAAGAAATATATAGGTAAGTGATACAGTATGTTAAACGAACTTGATGGCTTGTTAAATTTAAGATAGCCGAGTACACTCGTTTTATTTATAGCATTGTGTAATAAATAACAATCACCAGTGGCCAATTATGAACTTTTAAAATCTATGCTTCTGCGATTTTCTCCCTTACTTGTTGTCCTTAACCAGAAAAGGTTGAAAGGATCGGAATGTGTAAAATTCTTAATACAGTAATCTGGCAAATGGAATAAAAGTCACCTTTTAAAATTTTCTTTTTTTTTCTTAATAAAGAGAATGCAATAATTTTTGAAAAGTTTATGATAAAAGATCTCTGGTGATAAGTCCAAATTATATGTCCTATATAAATGATAATTTATCCTTCTTGAACTTTTCCCAAACTTTGGACGTTCTTTCAGCAATCAGAAAATTTTAAAAGGAACATTTCAATAACACGAATACAATGGTTGAATAAGTCTTGTCGGGTGTCTCACATTCTCGTAATTACACTAACCTCTTCGTAGGTATCCATAAATTTATTGCAATTTGAACATCAACAAATGTTCAGAAGTTTAACCAAGCATCCCAAACTACAACATTATTGAATCTCGTTAAGTAATAAGATGGAATGTCAACGGCTACAAGAATTTGTAAATTTTGAACATTTACTTTACGGAATAGATTTAAATAACATAAGTACTCCAGCGCTAAATGACCCATTTGAGATTTCGAAGCGATTTAACAATGGAATCAAATTCATAAACGCTAGAAACATATTGTATTTAAATGTACTTTGCGAAGCCAAAAAGTTAAACGTAAGCAATTCCTACGCAATTAGAAGGGTAACGGAAATGTTATGGAGTAGGGCCACATTTGAAGAAAAGGGGAGATGGTGTGATCTCGCAAAACAAGTGTCCAATTATATTAAATCTGAGTCAATGTTTCCACCAAAGATTTTAAGGGTTAGAAAGTTTGATGATAATTAGAAAGTGTATTATTAATAACGTCATAAATTAATGATTTTCATAAACCTTACAACGCTACAGAAATTTCTCTTTGTAGTTAATTTATTATTTATCTATTTTTTTTTTTTTTCATCCTTTTTTTTTGGCATTAGAGCTTAGCACAGTTCAAGAGTAAATACAGCATAATCATATTTTTTATCCTCGCTAAAACGTACTATTATGCCTGGATATTTTTCTTGATTAGATAAAGCAATCTATTCTATCCTTCTTTAAGATAGTGTTGTGGGAACAATAGGGATAGGAACGCGATATTGTGGCGCGTCGCGTAATAACAGCAACATGGATGGTAGAATGATGTAATAATTGGTAATAGCATGTAATGAGATGGACGCGTCCACAAAGCATATAAATAGAATAGTTGGAGGTAGTTTGGAGGAGGAGTCAGAGTTTCAAAAGAGTTTAGCTGGGAGCTTTGAGTTGAGAGTATTAGAATGCTCTTTATGTTCTCTCGCTTTATTCAATAAATGCCACAACTTTGCACAATCATATTACACATTCCTTGAAGTATACACTAAGTCTACGCCACTACAGTAAAGTAATCTTTAAGAAAGAGAGACGCGACGTTACCGTTGTGCACCGTAAGAGAGCGACACTTTTAATCTTGAGACGCGCCTAGAGGAAAAGACGGTCAAGAAGAGATTAGCCAGTGTGCGAAAGTCGGTCAAATCGTAATCCGCCTCGGAGTTAAAGCCTTACCTTATTTAGTGCCGAAATCCAAGCGTTCAGACTATCGTCACGCGAAGAGTGAACCGTTTTAGCGACAGACTCGTCGGTGACGATAACACTATAAATATTTATTTGATAAATTCATTATACAGTATCTTTTATATTTTTATATTTAACGTTTTCAAGAATATGTATGTAAAATTTTAGTCCATTATTTTAATTTTAGGGCTCTACTTAATTATTTATAGTTTTATTATCTTAATGAATTGAATTGATTTTTAAAAGATAATATATAATTCAATTATATATACAGTATATATATATATATATATTTATTTATTTATGATTCGATAGTATGGAATTTATTTTAATGAAATGTGGAAATTAAGACATTTTAATAAACAGGAATATTAAGTGATAATTATGAAAATGCGAAATGATTGGACTTTAAATTTCTTACATTCTTATTCGCATATTTATTTAAACATTATTTCTATAGTGATAAAACATAGTCTACGGATAATACATTCTACTATTGCTTTCTTATATCACTGCTAATGAACTGTAGAAAACTCTATTTAGTTTAGTTTTGAAAAAAATATTCAAGATTACAGAATTTATACCATTCCTTAAACCTTATTATAATTGTTATAAAATCTTATGTGTTTAGTATATAACTCACAACATTATTTCTTAGTTGTTTGATCATGTGATTGTGTAGATAGTTATGTAAATACCAAAGGAAATAAGAAAAAGAAAACATAAAAGATTGGGTTTAGGGGATACAACCATGTTTTTACGAGCAATAGTGCTATCTAAATCTATTAATTTAGCAAACAAGGTAGGTGCATTTTGCTTAATTGATTTCATTATTTCTCTGGCTAAATAAAAAACCGGTTGTAAGAATTGTGAGAAAAAAAAATTGTAAATTGCATAATACTTACTAGATTGATCAGTACACCGTTTTTCTATTCCTTGAAGAAGTTCTTCCAATTGTAAATCGGCGATTTGTTCTACAAAGTAAATATTGTAATTAAGTTTTTAATAAATTTAATATAATTATTATTTAAATATAATTATACTATTTATGTCTAAATCTGATAAAGAGTCGGTTATGTCTCCTACAAATTTTTAAAAAAATAAGTGTCGAAACATATTTAATGTATAGAACCAAGTTTAATACCTGAATTTTCTAACGTGTTTTCGAAAGTAGATGAATTATGAGGATAATTATCACAACATTTTTCCTCATTTCTAAAAACAGATCCAGTTATTATTGTTTCTTCCTTAAGTTCTTTATAAACGTAATTGGCATACGGACATTGATTAGGATCTTTGGCCCAACATTTTCGATAGGTCTCTATGTATTTACACGGAGTATACTGTATCGGTTTCTCTCTTTCACCCCTTAATAAAGATAAGGAAAGACTATAATAATTCCGATCTTTAAATGGTGGTATCCCACTCGATATCTCCCACAGTACCACGCCCAAGCTATATATATCCGATCTTTCAGTAAAATTAGCATAACTATTTTCACTTAGAACTATCGGATCTAGGAATGCTATTAAACCTTGTACCACCGAGATTGTCAAACTTTTACGAGATAAATCTTTTGACATTCCATAATCGGTTATTTTCACCTTAATTTTACTAGGATTTTCATCGCACGCCGATAAAACTATATTTTTTGTATGCTTAAAAATAAATATATAACAGATATGTAAATTTATTGCAAAATAGTAATAATAATAAATCAGATAGATAGATATGTTGTTACCAGATCTCTATGTAAAATGTTATTAGTGTGCAGAAAGCTTAGTCCACACGCGACTTGTCTGCTAATGTCGATCTTTTGTTCCCATGTAATTTCCGAATACTTCTCCGTTAAATATCTACGTAGATCACCTAACTCTGCATATTCCAGGACCATTATATACTCATCTAGTGCTAAAAAAAAAAAAAAATTAACAAATATTATTTAATATAATATTATTTTGGTGTAATTTAAACATACAGCATGTATAAATATACTGTACATACATCGACTGGATAATTCGAATGACCAACGTGTTAGTCATGTCACATTACCAAAATTTATAATAACCTTTTCAAATCAAATATACCTTAATCCATAGAATCTGATGATATTTTCGTGAATGTTTTTTGAATTTATCGAAGAATAAACTTTAAGCTATAAATTTTACGTTAATTAGTTATAATATCAAGCACGAACAATATCAAATACATACTTCTCTGATAACTTCCGTGTGTTCGGATTCACTCAATTTTTCTTCCATAAGTTTTAAAACAACAATTATTTTTTTAATTCCATTATTCCACATTGCTTTTTTAATTTTACACGTGCTTCCATTCGTCATATGTTCTAATACATTGATTTCGTTGTAGCTGATATTAATGCTCTTTACATATTCTTCTTTTAACGGTTTTTCAATACATGAACTGTTTTCCTCAATTTTTCTAATAATCTAACCATTTAAATTTAAAGATGAATCATTTTATCAAGGAAATAAAAAAGAATCTTAATTTAAAGGCACACATACGTTATTTTCGAAATAGAGATCACATGATTCTTAATACCGGTACACTCTATATGGGACTGTGTGTAATTACGAAGGATTGTCGATTGATATAATGGATTAATGTATCGTAGTAGTTGTGATTGAATAAAGATTTTTTTCATTTTTAAAAATTTTTGATACAGAGTTAATGAATACACTCGACAAGTTTAAATAGCTGAAGGGTATTTACTGTGTAACGCAAGAGATCGTCAGGAAGGCCATTAAAAAAATATTTACTCAGGAGCACCGAATTCGACTGTTCTTTCAAGGTGACACTAAAATGTGCACCTAATTCGACTGTTTTTTCAAGGTGACACTAAAATGTCCACCGAATTCGACTGTTTTTTCAAGGTGACACTAAAATGTGCACCGAATTCGGCTGGTTTTTCAAGGTGACACTAAAAGGAGAAAGGAGCACCGAATTCTGCCGTTTTTTCAAGGTGATACAACAAAAAACTATAATTTTATTGGGTACAGAATTATTTCTTAACAAATATGAAATTATTAAATGTGACAAATCACGGGTATATTAATCGATAACCATTTTTACAATCTTATATTATAGAAAATAAAATAATTTCATTTGATAGAATAATGCAAGTATATCAAATTCAAATAAATGATTAACTTTATACTAATATTGCAGAAAGGATCAATCACTATTTATTGCACTAGCTCGTTTGCCCAGGCTATGCTCTGGGATTAAAAATATTAAAGTATTTTATATATAAAAATGTAAATTTATTTTATTAAATTATAATAAATTGTATTAAATTGTATAAAATTATATTAATTATATTAAATTATATAAATAATAATTCATTTTTTAAATTATATTTTAGAATTAAAAATATTATTGTATTTTATATAATAAAATAAATAAATAATAAAATATAATAAAATATATAAATAATAATACAAATATATATTATATTTGTATTAAAAAATATTAAAATATTTTATATGTTAAAATATTTAAATTATATTAAATTATATTAAAATTTAAAATCATAACATTAAATATTATAAATAAATAAGTTTTATAAATATATATTATTTTTGTTTAATTTAAATAATAAAGAATATATATTATAAAAAACATTTATTATATACAAATATAATATATTGATATCAACTTCCTTATAAAAATCATATAATCTAAATATTATAATACTATAAATATTGAAATTAATTTAAATAATTCTAAATTTTGTATTAAATAAATTATTGAACTTTATATTTTAATAAACTGTATCTGAATTAAATTAAATTAAACTTTACATTTTAATCAAATAAATTAATTAAACTAAATTAAACTTTATATTTTAATAAATTAAATTTATATTAACTAAATAAACTTTATATTTAAATTAAATTAAGTTAAACTCAATTAAATTTTATATTTTAATTAAATTAATTAAATTAAACTCAACTAAATTTTATATTTAAATTAAATTAAATTAAACTTTATATTCAAATTAAATTAAATTAAACTAAATTAAACTCTATATGTAAATTATATTAAATTAAATTAAACTCAATTAAACTTTATATTTAAATTAAATTAAATTAAACTTTAATAATAATATAATTAATTTAAATTATACATTATTAATAAAAACTATTTTATTTACCTAACTAAAATATGATTAATTTAATAATATAATTAGAAAATTAATGATCGCGTCCGTTTTGTTAAAAAATTTTCCTTTT